TTGGATAAGTTCAAATCCAGCAATTCAGCATCAACTCCATAATAAAGCGTGGGATTAATAACTTGGAAAATAAAATTATTGGACCAACTATTAAAAGATAAGCCTTTGTGGTATGGAATTTCATAGGTCTTTCCTGTCTATGTAATGTGCAGAATGTATTTGAGTATTCTTGTTTATTGTGTATAAACATAATTTACAAAACAAATGATTTTTTTCAGTATCGTGTTCTTTTCAAAATGTCTGCTTTATTTATTATCTGTCTTACAGCAATTGCTCTCCCTTGTCCTTTCCTTTTTATTTATCTGGATGGAAGCAAAATGAACAGTAGTTTTCCTCACTGCTGCTGAACACTTGTTATATACACTTTAATATTATAATTTTATATCTAGTATGGATACATTTCTCAAATAATGCCAAGAAAGGTTAGAATCTCAGATGTTTTATTGGTAGCACTTGGAGAATCAAAAATGACATGAACTGGTTTGTGTAGTAAAATGGTTCATTCATCATCTAAATTTGGGTATTAATTGACAGAGCACTTTCCGTAATTCTAGGAGATTTATTTTTTCTTTTGTAGAGCCAGATGCATGTTATTTTGTATCTTGATAAGCCACAGTCAGACAATGTCATGTCTGGTTTCTAACTAATACAGAATTTTAAGAGAAATAGTAAAAGGTACCTGAATTTTCTTAAGGCAACTTCTTAGACTTAATTTTATCTGAAGTATCTTTTGTACAAAAAATACTTTCTAATAAAAATGTAATGATGTGTATATAGTCGGAGGAGATGCTTTTATAAGATTTGACTCTGTGTTACTATATTTTATGAGAAACAGACAAAGGGCTTCCTAGACAGGTACAACTGCTCACTCAGGCATTCACATGTTAGGTGTGTAATATTAGGGATATAATTATTTTTTATATCCTTATGAAAACTAGTAAGCTGAAGCACCAACTAAACAACAAACACATCATTTAAAAATTACATTACTTCAGAGCATTGCCCTATATTCAAAAGCATCCATCTGACTGTTCCACTTACCTATTATCTTGAAGATTACTCCAAAGGGTATATGATTCAGATTTTTTCCCCCACCATGATCAATACTTACCTTGGAAATGTTATATACAGTGGGGAATTCCACTTCATATTTATTCACATTTCAATAATTCCTGTTCCAAAATGCCTTCTTCCTCTTCTTTCGCCCATGTAAATAAACATTCCATCATCAAGTTCTTTTCTAGCAGATCTATGTTCAGAATTTCATAGTATTCAGGGTCTCAAATAATATCTTGATTTTTATCTGATTATAAGGCCTAAGAGCAACCATGGACCAGCAACAATTTTTTTTTTCTCTCAAAAAAACATTGATCAATGTTCCAAGGTATAATGTCCTACTCAACCACAGGAAAATATGATACTTGATTCTACCGTATTCAGAATACAAAGGGAAGTAATTAAGCCATATCATGGTGTATGTGTGTGAGCTATGTCAAATCCTCCTAATACTTTACCAATGCAAATATCTAGAAATGTTCAAAAAAGCTGAGAAGATTGAGGTCATAGCCAGGTATCAAATGATATGGAGAAAAAAAGTTAGCAAATCTTCTTTTAAAGCATCCTTGGTGCATATTCCCAAAGCAAACTGTATACTTTTAGACATACATGTAAATTGACTGTACCTCTTCTATACCCATAGCCAATCATGAATGAGTATGCAAATTAACCCAACAAAGATTGCGTGTCCAGGCAGGGTGGGACACTTGCTATGAGGGATAAGGTGGGGGAGGGGGGCAGGTCAGAGGACAGGAGTGGTGCTCCAGCCGGTGAGGACTTGCAGCTTCTCAGGTGGCCTGGGAGTGAGGACTTGCAGGCTCCTCACTTCCCAGGAGTGAAGCCAGGGGAAGGAAGGTCTATTCTTGTACAAATCTTTGTGCAATGGGCTTCTAGTATATCTATAATAATAAAAGTGTAATATGCTAATTAGGCAGGACAGCAGAATGACCTCCTGGACATTCTTTCAGACAACCTTATGGATGAAGCTAGGGCTGTGAGGGCCAGGGCAGTTGTCATGGTTGTAAGGGCCAAGCTCCTTGCACAGATTTCATGCATTGGGCCTCTAGTACACACACACACACATCACAATTATTATTACATTACCTTAATTTGGTTAATTATTATTGGCATTTTTGAGTGCATTAAGTATTAACAAATACTGCCACTTGGTTGCCTATGTATAGAGTAAAAAGAGCAGTCAACATAGAATTGTTTTGCTGTAAGGATACACCAGATGTGTAAAAAGTCACAACTCAGTGTGTGATTGTCTTGATTCAACAGTGCAGCTTCTGTACTGAGGGACCAAAAGCCAACTACATTATGTGGAGCAAATACAGATATTGCTAATCATATACATCTAGTTCTCAGTGTCCTTTAAATCATACATTTATAGCACTTCACCCTTCAACCCCTAAACCTGCATGAGAACCTTCTGTCAAATGTGTCTCTATATTGACTGAAAGCCAAGTTTGACGTAACCAACTATATATATATATATATATATATATATATATATATATATATACACACACATATATATGTGTGTGTGTGTGTTTTCTAAAGCATATTAAATAGGTCAAACATAATATCCTATAGGACTGAATTGCAGTCCTATAGGATATTATGCCTAAAAGTTTAGTTCAAGTTCACTTTTCATTCTATTCAGTAGGATTTATCTAACTGTTCAGCCAACCCCTACATAAAGGAGAATTATATGCTGGGTCTAACTCCATAGAAATTATAAACTCAAGATGAAAGAAGGTTTAGAGTCAGCAGAGCAGAGCCCCTTCAGAACATAGCAAGTAGAGAAGGCAGGAATTTTCCCCTCTTGACTTATACCACTCTTCTTTAGACTAGCACATGTTTGAAATTCCTTGGTGGGTTGTTTGTTTGTTTTGTATATGGGAATATATTAAGTATATCTGATAAATGGCCGTGAAAGTATGTTTTCCTTTCCCCCCAAGTCTTCTCCACAGTAAAAGCAAATGAGAATCATTTTTCTAACACAGAAGACAGGGAATGAGGGAGAAAAAGATTGCAAGAGAATTGGTAAAGAATACATAGAGGCAAGACCCTTTTGTGATCGCACTCATTTGTCATCCATTCCTTCTAGTTCTCTGACCTACTTTGCTAGTAATGATTGGTTTTTCACACCTGGACATCACAAAACCCTAGTGTGAGGTCCAACTGCTGAGTTTAGTGTGGATCAAAGCAGCTCATTCATTAGGAGCTGAAGTTTGCTCTAGTTTGGCCAACCCTTGTTTCATCAACAGGGAGGCAGATTTTTAGGGTCACTAATAAGAGGTGTATATTTTCATTTTGCTTCACAAAAAGGCAAAAGTCATATATATATTATGTGAAAGTATCAGAAGAGTGCCACAGTGCCAGTAACCTCCAAGTTACTCTTTTACTTGGAAGGCAGTGTACTAATATGTTCTCATACCTAAACATTCTCCAGGTTCTTCAACTACCTTTAGCAGGTTACCATTGCATTAGCATTGCTATCTCTTGGTATCAATCCAGTCTTTCATAACAAATTCCTTACAAATACCTATTTAAACTCTGTAATCTGCATTTGGAAAAAGAGAGGCAGCTCTTCCAGAAGGATGGAAGAATCCATGAATAAAGAGGTTTCTGTAATAACCTGATATTTCTGACATTTTGACAAACCAGGGTCACAATTTGAAATCTGGCAGAAAATCTAGAGCTGTCTCCCAATAATGAACTAATATTTCTTTAATCATGTATCACATAGATAGTGATTGATTCAAGGACATGAACCAGGTCTTGTCAATTGTGTGTCCACATTAAAAACAATGTTTAACACATGGTAGGTCTTTAATAATTATTGTTAAATGAAACCTATTTGTTGACACTCAGCACCAAAAATGATTTTTCAACTTGGATAACAGAATACCTTTGCATTCAGACATCATACTTTGCCTCACAGCAGAATTTTATGAGTGGTAAATAAATTATACTAAAACTTTCTTCCAAGTGAAATTATATTTACTTCACAAAATCATGATTTTTAATCTGAGCATTTAAAAAGAGTGACCCTAATAAGAGGAGGGGGATTTACCACAGCATACTTGAGTATATAGATCCAAAACTCAAGTCAACCCAAGAAGACAGGGCCCCATGGTGTTTGATGCTGTGACTGAAAAATAATGTATTTTCTTTCTCAGGAAGTAGAAAATGGAATTACCTTTAAGTTTCTTATATTTGAGCCATACTACAAATGAGCTGTGTCCAGGTACAGAAAAACCAACAATATTTTTTATTTATAATCTTATTTTTAGCGTTTGAACTACAAATTCTGGTTCTAGAGTTGTTGAAAAGATCATGGGTTTTATAGGTGCTCATATGTAAATTAATCTCTTGTTTGTTTACTTTTTTTTCTCCTTTTCCACTGAATGGTCCTCCTCATAAATACAGAACAGGTCGTTACATGAAAAATATAAGATCTTGCATTATTTTCCTTGTTCTCTCTTAAAAATCTATTTCTAATATTGCATTCCCCATTGGACTATGTCATGAGGGCATGAGGGGGTAAATAAAAGAGGAAAAGTAAAGACAAAAATAGACTGGATCTCACCACTAGAATTCACCATAAAAATCTCAAAATGTAACAGAATTCTTACAAAATTCCTAGACCAGTTCCTTAGGGAATTGAGATCTATGAAAAATATGGCAATCAGGGAAGGCAGGGACAAGATATGCGAAAATAGGAAATAAGTGCAGCAAAAACAGGTTCTGAGGAATACACATAATTTTGTCTGCTTTAGATCACAATAGAATTTTTAATAAATAAATTTCTTTTCTTTTTTGTTTTTTTTTTTGTAAAGACACTTTTTTTTGAAACAGTAGATTTAGCCCAGTCATTTGTGTCAATATTAATAAACTGTCCCTTTTTTTAATTGTTTTCTGTAGCCGTAAATGTTTTAGATCTGAGTCTCTTGTACATTGTCTTTCGAGTTCATTCGGATCAATAACGGTTCATGCACTGAACTGTGTATTGAATTTATTGTATTAACTGTTGTTGTGTGGTTGAAGGGAGATTTGTAAGAGTTATAGTGATTTATGTGCTCATGCTCGATAGCAGGCATGGGCAGGTGGCTTTCCATGGGTGTGTCTCCTGTAATCTCATCATCCACATTAATGATCTCAACAGTTCTTGTGGGGGCATGATGGTTTTGCCTATGGTGCTGCTTCCTCATCTTGTAGAAAATGACCAGCATCACTGCAGCCATGAGTGTGATGGCCACAAAACAGCCAATGATGATTTTGGTAGTCTTCATGACCTCATCAATTCCTGGGATCCCACTGTTCATATCAGTCACTGGGATGGTGAATGCTTTTTCTGTTGACCTTGTGCTCTGTGGCATGAGAGAGGTGGTTACATTGGTGGTTTCCCAGTCAATCGCTGGAGTGGGACCTACATTGTTGTCTGTGGTCCGTGCCTCATCCTGAGAAGGTTCCATAGTCTCGACTGTGACAGTCGAAAAGTAAGTAAAAGGAGTGGTGGCTGCTGCAGTAACATTCAGGGTGGCTGAAGCAGTGGTATTTCCAACAGAATTGCTCACCATACATGTGTACATGCCTGTATCTTGCACGGTTACATTTGTGAAATTTAATGTGCCATCGCTGAGCACAGCTATCCTCACTTTGTATGCCCCATGTGTCATGACCGTTCCATTTGGGGTGATCCAAGATACGGAGGTCAGGGATGTGGAGGCCCGACATTTGAGCTCAGCTGCCATGCCTTCGGTGACATTGAGGTCTGCTGGGGGCTCCACAATCACAGGAGCATAACATGTGAAATAATTCTGGTCCAGCTCCCCAATGTACCTCCCTTTCAGATTGGGAGGAGTGTTACACCGGGCACAGCAAGCTGTGTTAGAGGGTGCCATGTCTTTTATCCACCAGCTGAGCCAAAGGATGTCACAGTTACAGTTCCACGGGTTGTGATGTAAGTGAATCCGCTCTAGGTGATGCAAGGGTGTGAAGAGGTCATGAGGCAGTAACGTTAGATTATTGTGTGCCAGGTTGATTTCCACCAGTGACTGAAGGTTATCAAAGGCATTCCGTTCAATCACCTGAATCTGGGACTGTATCATCCACAGTTTTTGAAGGTGCATCAACCCCTGGAAAGAGCCCGGCCTGATGGCAGACAAATGATTCCCAGAAAGATCTAGCTCATCCAGTTTTATGAGTGGTGTGAGGTTAGGGATCTCCCGGAGGTTGCACATGGCCAGGTTCAAATACCTCAAGTTGGACAGACCTTCAAAGGCACCTTCTGAGATGTACGAAAGCCTTTTCAATTCGCCCAAGTCTAGCCGGCGCAAAGAAGGGATTCTGTTAAAAGCATAAGAAGGGATGCTTTCGATGGGGTTGTTTCGCAACCAGAGCTCCTTCAGTTTAGACAAATATACAAAAGCTCCATTCGGGATGGTGGTAAGACGATTATCAAAGAGTTCCAGGGTGTTGAGGTTCGCCAGACCATTGAAAGCCCCGATCTCAATGGTTCGAATGTGATTCCTACTCAACTGTAGGATTTCCAGGTGCCTCAAGTGCTTGAAGCTGTTCACTTTGATGATCTGGATTTGGTTCTCATGGAGGTTCAGCAGCCGAGTGTTGGTGGAAATGCCATCGGGTACTTCGCGTAGGTTTTTCCGAACGCAAATCACTTTGCTGAACTGGTTGCTGCAGGAGCAGACGGAGGGGCAGGTTTGAGCCCGCACCAGACCAGCCACCACCAGAAGTTGAAGAGCCAGCAGCACCACAAGCAGGGGGTCAAATAGGGCCCTGTTAAACCTAGGACCTATCATTATCTGCTGTGGATGTAAGGTCATCTTGTTCAACATTCATAATTTATCTGGTGTGGGTCCTTCTGGAGCTCAAATAGTCTGCAATGCAATAAGAGCAAAAAGAGAGGGTTAAATCTCTTCCAACATGTCTTTCTGGAACAATGCCAGTGATACAGCCTATCAGCCATCATTTCTCAGACTAGGAAAACAACAAATTTAATATCCTTTGTTGAGTAATGAGTCTCATATTCTTAGAAAAATGTTTCTGCACTTCACATTAGCAGCCATCCACAGTCCCTAGTCCATCAGATATGCAATCACAGAGAAATGGAAGAATGAAGCAGAGCAACTTAATAGCATGATAACCAATCAGTGCAAGCCGAATGCATGAGGTGTACGCCACCATTCGATTCACTGTCTGATCAAATTGGAAAAGTTCAGAAAAATAGAACTTGGAAGCTATACCCACAAAACTAAAAGATCTCTTGCAAATGAATAATAGCTGACATTTTATTTGGGGTTGTTCTATGTGCCAGGCACCCCAGAGTATAAGACCTCACAAACAATCCTATCCGGGAATGGCTACTTACTTTGCAGAGCTCGATGTAAAATGAATATGTGGGAAGCCTTGTTGATAATTATTAAAAATTTCAAATCCGTAACAACAAAGCATGAAGCTAAGGGTAAACCTTCTGAGGATGGGGCCCTTTGCAATTATATAGGTTGCCTGCCTGATCATTTCCAATCCTGCATTCCTCTGACGTAGGAACAGTTATATTCTCCATTTTCTGGATGAATAAGTTTAGCATAGAAATAATATGAGTGTATTCACATAGTAATTACAGAGCCAGTGCTCAGATGTTCCTCTGATGCATCCAGAAGCATATTATTTCAAATACTCAACAAAAAGTTGCTGTGAGAATGAAGGCAAAATAAATATTCATTTCTTTAAAATACTTTTCCTTTGGGTGAGCTCTACTGTAAACACTGGCAACTTACATTATGGACATTGTGAAAATCCACTGAAATAGTGACGTGCACAAGTGTACATGAACTTCTAGAGATTCTCATATACAAAAACTCATAATATAGCCGACTGCTACCTATAGGTAGACATACCACACATTAAGTCATTGTCCATAAAGTATATCTGCTTATAGAAAAGATTTTATTATAACAGAACTATTACATGTCTTGTATCCCTATTCTTCTAAATAGAGCTTAAGAGAAATAAAATAACTCACTTTCTGCATCTCTTCCAGTGCCAGGAGGCATTCTCAAGGAACCTATGTTACCCAGTATATGGCCCACTCCACTGGCATAACAGGGATTAGGTACCTGTATAATGACTTCTCCCAAATCTCTTATCTCAATAAACAGTGATCTTCTATGAATTTCTTTGACTGAAAAAAAAAATGGAGGGGGGGGAGGGGAACGGATACCAGGAACTGACCATATTCCAATTCAAAAAAGCACTAATTTAGTATTGATGTCATGGTGACTTGGGAAAGTTAACTTATCCTTTCTATGGTTCAATCTCTGACTTGCAATATGGGAGATAATGTTCAATTCCCCTTATTGTTGTTGTAAGGACAAAATTAGTTAATGCACATAAAGGGTTTAGAACAATGCCTCCACATGGTAGTAAGAACTCAAGAAATGTTAGACATTATTGTTATTATAATTACTGTTTTTGTTGTTGCCCCTGGTCAGACATTTTACAAAGTGCTGGGCATATAAATTAGAAGAATATAATCCCTACCCCTGAGCAAATTATAATTCAAAAGGTGAAATACAGACAAACTGAAGAAGTGCAATCATAAACATTTGCTCTATTTTTCTGAGACCAGGCCACATGGACACAAAGGCACTGATGGCAGAGCAACTCTATCTGTGCTGAGAAATTAGGAATTTTCAAAGGGAAGGGTTATCTGATCTCTGTATTCTAGAAGTAGAGCATTTCAGGCCAAGAGACCAGCCTAAGTATAGACAAGGACACATGAAATCTACTAGTCCATCCAGGGAACAGGGGCAAGTTCCCTGTGGCAGGAGAATGGGGAGGAGAATGGGATAAAAGCTGGGCTGAGATCAGACTGTCAAGAGTTATAATACACACAGGAAACCCTGTTTCATCCAGCAGGTGACATGCTTTATTTTTAGAAGGCAATCCTATCATCAGCTTTGTTTTTAAGAACAGCTAAAAAAGATCTTATTGTTCTAAGTGAGCCTTGGAGAGAAGTCAATGCCAGAGACAGGTCAGGTTTCTTGGCCATCACTTTCCTGTCCACCACTCAAGGGCTTGAGGTGAGGGGGTGTGAAAGGCTGGCTCTTCTACTAGTGGGGAGGTTCTCAGTGTGAATTAGCTGCATTTTCATTACACAAGATGGAGAAGAGGCTTCCCTCCACCCCCCAATAATAGGAGATGCCTTACTCAGGAAAGGCAGCTGTTCTTAGCAATTCTTAAATATATATCCACATTTACAAAACCACTGAAAGGGAGCAGAGTCTCAAGAAGGTGAAGTTTAAAGTCATAGGTTGCTTCTTGGCTTCAGAGGCTTGCCGACATTTCCATCATTATGGCAGCAAAGAAACAGTGGGATCCAGTGGCCCAGAGAGAATGCTCTGGTGTAAGACTTCCTAATTTCTTAGGCCTGCTTGAAACTCCAGGACCATATATTAAGAAGACTCACTTGTCCATACTTTATACTTTTCCCATCTGGGAAAGGTGCACAACAGTGTTATCCATTCAAAAGGCTTTTGTTAGGGGTGTCAGATAATATACGTAACATTACTGGCTCATAATAAAAAATATATAATAAATATTTAATATATATTAAAAATAAGCTAATGGGAGTTTCTTCTTTTCATATAAGTTAGCAGTTATGATAATATTTATCATTCAAAGTTATGGTATGGATTAACTGGTATGATGAGGCACATGCTATCAATAACACATTAGTGGTATTCACTGCAAGGTAAATTTGCCTGTTCTCTTGTAATCCCCAGGTTGTTCTATTTTTTTTACTTCTTGCTTACTTCAAGGTCTTTTTTTTTCCTATTGCAATTAATAAGTTTTTCATAAATAGGTCATAAGTAATGATTTATGAATTATAACTGATTCAAAGCTGATTTATAACCTACAGCAAACAATGCTTAGTACATTCATTGAATCAAATAAACTACTATCAACAAAATGTTTTCTACTTTAAAATCTAAATTGTTACTTTACCTAAAAAGCCACTTTTCCACATCTCTTTCATAAGATGTTTTATCACATCAAAAGGAAATCAATTTAAAGGTATGCACTGCACTATCCATTACCATGTCATCTGACAGCGTTTATTTACAAATGGGTCTGCATGGGTTTTAAATTAAACTATAATACTTTTAGCCTGGTCCCAGAGGAGAGCTTGACTATGTCAACAGACCTTTCTTTTTTCTCTGCCCTGTGCTTCACTGCATCGAGACATACTGGAAGAACTGAGTGCCAGAGAGTAGCCTTATTTAGCACAGCTAAGTGTTTGCTAAGTCAGCATAAACTGTATAGACATTGGAACTAGTTTAGAAGCAAGGTGAGAGAAATATACATTTAGTTAAACACAACTACCCAACCCTCCTATCCCCAATAGACACATATACTCACACTCATTTATAACAACAAACTTCCCTAAACACTGAATACCAAAACCATTTACCACACTCAGCAGGGACACAGAGAACCCAACACCCCACATTATCATGAACATCAACATGATTTTGCTTTTTCACTGTCTTTATAAGCATCTCTAGCCTATTCTGGGACTCTCCTGCCAAAGCAAAAAGTTTGTTTCATTGTCCTTATAGAAACTTACCCAATGATCCATCACCTCTCTCAAGGAAAGCATCAATGGAAGCTGTGCTCTAAGATTTTGATTCCATCACCCCACCTTGCTGTTTTCACCAATCCTGGATGGTTATATCAAAACTTATGCAGGTCTAATCAAGTTCTCACACTGAAAACCAACAGTTCTCAATAAAGTCTGGCCCAATTCACAGGCACTCCTAAATCTTTGTGGGGTGGTGTCCTCCTTCGCCCTAGTGAACAATAAACTCAGCACTTAAAAGATTTTGGGGAGTCAGCTTTTTACAACACTAAAGGTGGGATATTTATCTAAAATGTGCTTGAGCATCAATCTCTCCTTCTCTTACTGATTGTTGTCTAATCAACATCTTACTCCCTTACTCTTTCCCAAGAAAACCTTGTTCAGAAAAATTCACTCCCATCTTTAAAGAAAGAAAACAAAAACAAAAAAAAAAACAATACAAAAAACAACAACACTTTCACCTTTAAAAAAGAATCACAAAATCATATTATCTGGTTTGGGAGAGGCTGACCTAGCAGTGGTGGGTGAATAGAATTTGGTTTAAGCTAGTATTAGACAAACTCTTTTGGAAAGGCCCAGGTAGTAAATATTCAGGCTTTGCAGATCATATTGTCTCTTGCTGCAACTACTCAATTTAGTCATTATAGCTTAGTAATAGCTATAGACAAAAGAGAAATGAATGTTTATAACTATATCCCAATTAAACTATGCATGGACAATGAAATTTGAAATATAAAATTTGAATTTATATTTATCATCTCAAAATATTATTGTTGATTTCCCCCCAACTATTTAAAAAGGCAAAAATATTCTTAACTCACAAGACACACAAAAAACAAGTTGTGGGCTCACTTTTGGACTATCGTTTGCTAAGTTCTTTGGTGAAGAACTTTAGCTCTACCATTCCTTTAGCCAGGGACTGGTTAGGGCTGGGCATGTGACACAATTTGGCCTATGAGGTGTAAAGATAAATCAGCTGCTCGGGTTCTAGGGAAATTTTTCTTCAAACACATAACAATAAAAACATAGGAAAGGAGTAGTTTTGGGGCAGATATGTTGGTTAGATTACTCCTTTCTGCTGGTGGGAGCCCCAGAGGAAGCATCATTGAAATGTCTCCTCCCTCAGTTGTCATGTCTAAGTCAGAGTCTCCCAAAGAGTTGGGATAGCTCTCAGATTCTGTGATATTGTGATTC